CAAGCATCTCTTTCTTAGCTGAGAAATGCTCCTAGGAGCATCCTTTTAAAATGCAAAGCAATCATGTAACTTCCTTCCTTAAAAACTTTCTCGTGACTTCCCACTGTTAGAGGTTACAGCTTATACTCCCTAGTACTACTCCCAAGGCTATGAGCTGGTCTCTCTCCACCTCTTCTCTTCCTGGTATCACTCAGTACAATTCCTACTAAACAACAACAAAAAAGCCTGTTGTCATCAAGTGAATTCTGACTCACAGTGACCTTATAGGATACATACAGCAGGATTATTCCATAATTTCTTAGGCTATAATTTTTACAGAAGCAGAATGTCACCTTTTACCCAAGGAGCAGCTGGTGGGTTCGAACCACTGACCTTTCAGAAAGCAGCTGACACTTACCCACTGCATCACTAGGACTCCTTAGATACCTGCTATTTACCTTAAACTCCAGCAGTCTCACCCCACAAAATCCACTGCTCTTCTGATTTTCTCTTATTTGGAGATTCGTTCACTCATTGTTTATTCACAAATAAGTTGAATTCTAATGTGACAGTCTCTGCACTGTTGTTAGATGTCACAGAGTCAGTTCAGACTCACAGTGATCCTGTATAGGGTTTCCTATCTCTACGGGAGCAGAGAGCCTCATCTTTCTCCAGCACAGCAGCGGGAGTATTTGAAATGCTGACTCTGAGGTTATCAATCCAATGAGTAACTCACTATACTACCAGGGCTCCCTGCCCCTGCATTTGTTGTTAAGTGCTGTTGAGTTGGTTCCAATCCATAGACACCCTATATAGGAGCAGTTGGTGGATTTAAACCACTGGCCTTGCCTTCAAACTGACCTTGAAGGCCAGTGCTTATCCTGCAGTGCCATACCTGTGTCAATGGACACTGTCCTGGGTCTCATGACCTCACTGGTAAAAACATTTGCATTCATCAATATTTTGTTACAAAGTATTCCCCCCTTTCTTTATGATAGAGCCATATCAGCTCTACTGTAAACTAAACTGATTGAGAAGTGTCCCTCCCTCTTTTTTGTGACTCTAGACATTTAAAATGTCTTTCCTTTGCACTTGCTCTTTCTAAAATGCACAATTCCAACAAAAAAAAATCTCATCAGTCAGCATTCCTAAGCACCTCTGCTCCCACACCACCCAAGCCAACCTAAAGTAAAATAGAACTGGCTTCCCCTTCCCTCAAGCCTCCACTCTTCACATCAGGACAGCCCACTCCTTCCTGGTGTGGCTCTGTGGGTTAATGCGGGTCAGACTGCAAAGCCATTTGAACTGCAAGGTCCGTGGTTCAAGCTTACCAGCTGCTCCTTGGAAACCCTATACAAGGTCGCTATGGGTCGGAATCAACAGCACTTAACAACAACAAACAACTCCTTCGCTACCTTGTTCTAAGCCTCTCCTGGATAGGCTGAGACCCCTGACAGACAAAAACAAGATTCTTAAAACTCTTGATTTCATGTACATCAGGGTGCAGGTCTACAGTAGATTCTTAAATGTTAAAAGGGTAAACTGTCTTTAGAATCTAACCTTTTTAAAGGTAACTTATTTTTGACACTGAGCATAAATTTGCATGAACTTTTTGAAAAAAAAAAAATTGAGTAGTATATATCAAAATTTTTAAAGTACCAGGAATACCACTTTTAGTTAATTCCCTAAAGTAATCCTAGTATTGGGTATAAGCATACATGTAAAAGCATGTCTATCTCAACACTGGATACAGTTACTAAAAAGTAGAATGTCAAAGGCCATCAAGAGGAAACGAAATAAGTAAATTTAGTTCATTCATAGTGTGGAGGATCCATTTGCTAGTTATTACAAAACAGCAGCACACCTATCCATAATGACATTTAGAAGTGATTCTACCCATTCCTCACTTATCAATGGAGCATGATTACAACATTGTATTGCTGCTGTGGAGTTGGTTCCTACTCACAGTGGTGGTGGTGGTGGTAATGTGCCACGGAGTCAGTTCTGACTCATAGCAACCCTGCACAGGGTTTCCGAGGCTGTAAATCCTTACGGGAGCAGAAAGCCTCATCTTTCTCCCGCAGAACAGTTGGTAGTTTCAAACTGCTGACCTTGAGGTTAGCAGCCCAATTCGTAACCATGGTGGTGGTGGTGATGTGCCTTGGAGTCAGTTCTGACTCATAGCGACCCTGTATAGGGTTTCTGAGGCTGTAAATATTTACAGGAGCAGAAAGCCTCATCTTTCTCCCGCAGAACAGCTGGTAGTTTTGAACTGCTGACCTTGCGGTTCACATCCCAATTCATAACCGCTATGCTACCAGAGCTCCTGGCAAACGTAGCCACCTTATATTGGGTTTCCAAGGAGCAGCTGGTAGGTTTGAACTGCAGACCTTATGGTTTGCAGTCCAGTGCTGATCCTACAGCACCACACCAGGAGTCCACATCATTATATAACTACCAAATTACATCATTACGTAACTGCCAAAAGGAGCTTTGGTAGCGTAGTGGTTACAAGTCGGGCTGCTTACCTCAAGGTCAGCATTTCCAAACTACCAACTGTTCCGCAGGAGAAAGATGAGGCTTTCTGCTCCCATAAACACTTACAGTTTCGGAAACTCTATGCAGGGTCACTGAACTCCACGGCACACCACCACCACAACTGCCAAATAACTGAGAATCATGATCCAGCCAAGTTGGAGACATATCCTTAACTTTCACAACCAGTGTTACTCTTGCCTCTAACCTCTATATTTGTTATTACTAGACATATTAATGTACAAAAATAATCAGATTTTTCACTACTGTCAAAAATGTGAAATGGTAGATAAGGTCAATAAATGAACCCAAATTCATACCCACTGCCATTGAGTCAATTCTGATTCATAGCAACCTATGTAAGAAGGGTTCCAAGGATGTAAATCTTTAAAGGAGCAGAATGTCTCCTCTTTCTCCAGTGGAGCGGCTGATGGATTCAAACTGTTGACCTTAAGGTTGTTGTTGTTGAGTGCCGTTGAGTCGGTTCCGAAACATAGCGACCCTGTATAGGGTTTCTCATGAGCACCTGGTGAGCTTGAATCACCGACCGTGCAGTTCAAACAGCTTTGCAGTCTGGCGCGTTAGCAGTCTATAAGTGAGGAGTCGGTGTATTTCCATAAGTAATTAACTTTCAACTTGATACTGAGACCACCTTTGTCTTTTCTCTGAAGACAAAGCTCCTATCATAACAAAGGATCTTTTTTATTTTTATATTCTAAAGGTATGTCCTGAAGATAGTCCTCCATGGATGAAGATGATGCTGATGGGAAAAATGAGATACTTGGACAAAACTCCTAAGAGAACTGTCTTGATCAGGTTCAAGTCTAATTCTTTTTTTAAAGAAGATACAGAATGCTTAACCATATGTTAATGCATTGGTGGTGGTTGTCACTGCTACCTGCTTGCATCAATTCCCACTCATAGCGACTCCAAGTGACAAAGGAGAACTTCCTCATAGGCTTTTCTAGACTGTAATCTTTACTGAAAGGAGCTCTGGTAGCGTAGTGGTTAGGAATCGGGCTGCAAACCTTAAGCTCAGCAGTTCAAAACTACCAGCTGTTCTGCGGGCGAAAGATGAGGCTTTCTGCTCCCATAAAGACTTACAGCCTCAGAAACCCTGTACAGGGTCGCTATGAGTCGGAACCGACTCCATGGCACATAACAACAACAATATTTACTGAAGCAAAATGCCAAGTGTTTCTCCCACGGATTTGCTGGGTGGGTTCAAACTGCCAACTTTTCGATTAGCAGCTGAACCCCTAATCTTTGAGACATCAATGTTCCTTTAATGCACTGACAAGGATTATGCATACAAACAGAGAGACTGTGGAGCTCAGTTCTTTCTTGTTGCAGTTTTCTCCTGGATGGAAAGCACATTGAGTACTAGGGACAAACCACACATTCCCTGGATCTTTTTTTGTACTTTAAACTTGTCCTTAATTCTAAATCTTCCTTTGAAATAGTGATTTAGTTGCTGTTATGGAAACACAGAGATCCAAGCAGCTATCAAATACCAACAATATTTAGAGAAGGGGAGGTGGGTTAGAATATTTCTCTGCCAAATTAATGTAAATGGTGTTTCATTTGTGTGTGGCTTAGCAGGGAATACAATAATCCTTTTTGACTGGCCTATGCAGTCTTTCCATAAACTCTACCTGCTCTTTTAACAACTGGAAATAAATTCTTCCAATTTCTACCTTGCCTGAGTCATTTCTCCCTCTAGCAATGACTGTTCAGATAAAGATGCTTAAATCCTTTGGGAAATCTACCAGAATTTACAAAACTTGTGACCCAAAGGTCCTAGGCCCTAGTCTCCCGGCTCCAACCAACTTCCATTCTGTTTGAGCAGTGGCTCTGTTTTCCATTGGTTGGTGACCACAGCTACTTGGTATGAAACTGGTGTTTAACAAACAAGTACCTGATTCTGACATTTCATAACACGGGAAAACAACTTTGGAAAACATCTAAAAACAACACACACGTTCACTTTGGCTAAAAAGTAGCTACATCTTCTCATTTTTTTAAATTAACATATTTTCTGTAGCATGAAGGCTACAGAACTTGAAAGTCAACATGAACCTGCTGGGAAGCCACTTCTGGCTGGACAGAAGGGGCAGCTGCGCCAGTAACGAACGCAGCCCATCCTGGCTGGCTCCGGAGGGCTGGCAGGCGGCGAAAAGAGACGCAAGAGCCCAATCCGAAGACACGACTCCCAGGGTTCCAGTCCCGAGGCCCGGAGCGGGGCTAGGAGGGAAGACCAGGCTGGAACCCGAGTGAGAGGAGGCGCCCCCAGCCGCACGCCGGGGAGGGGGAGCGTGTATCCTTGACAACCGCGCTCCCGCGCAGCCCTTCCTCCCGGCCGGGGGAGGGGAGCGGAGCAGAGCGTGGGGCGTCCCTGAGCAGGGGCGGCGGCACGCGGGGGCCCCTCATGTGCAGCAGCCACGGGTCAGCCCTCGGGGCCGCGTGGCGCCGCGGCCCGCGCCTACCGTGTATCCCCGCTCCAGATCACTCTCCTCGTAGCGAAAAGACGGGATGTAGACCTCCATGGCCTCACCAGCCGGCCGGCGGAGGGCGGGCCAGGGGCGGGCCTACGGCTACTGCCGCCACTCCGCCCCAGCTGGCCGCCCCGCCTCCCAGATTTCGGCGCTGGGCCCTGCGGGGAGGCCGAGCTGCTGACCGCGACCGGAGATTTCCACCCCGCCGCGGAGCTTGGCCGGGCCTGGGGTGTGGGGCGGGGCGTCTCGGTTCTGGACCTTTTGGGCTGCCGCGGCGATCAGCTGGGCCTGAAGGAGGTGGGGCCTGGTAACCTGTGAGTCTGCAAAAAGGGGTGTGCGCGCCGCCGCCGAGCGGGCCACTGAGACGCGCTCCGTGCTCTCCCTGCCCTGTGGGCTCTGGTGGGTGCTTACTTTGCACATTGCTAGGCACCACCCATACAAATTGCTTGCGAACTGAGAACTGGAAAGCAGAGAGCTTCTGATTTTATTTTGATTGCGTGAATTTTCCTATTATTCCCGGCTGCCTTTAACAGTAGTGAATTCCCCAACTTTTACCAAGACTTAGTTACTGTTTCCTCGGAAGTTGAGGGTCAATGTCTCAATCTGAGTTAGCCTTTTTAACCTGGACATATCCTGAAAGCTTCCACCACTGATATTAAATAAACTCACTGGTTTCTTGCTTCTAATGTTAAAATTCTGTCACTGAGTAACCGTGGTGGTGGTTATGTGCCGTGGAGTCCATTCCGACTCATAGTGACCCTGTACAAGGTTTCCGAGGCTGTAAATCTTTACGGGAGCAGAAAGCCTCATCTTTCCATAAAGGGCTTTTAAAGGAGCCTTGCAGTTTAGTGAGTTAAGAGCTGGGCTGCTAACTGCAAGGTCAGCAGTTACCAGTCACTCCTTGGGAGACAGATAAGGCTTTCAGTTCCTGTAAAGATTTACATTCTCCAGAAGCTTATTCAGGGTCACTCTGACTTGAACTGACTTGGTGGCACGCAGCCACCACTAAAGCATTTCTTAAATATTAGGAAAAATGGTTGGTTGGTTATGTGCCATGAAGTTGGTTCCAACTCTAGAGACTCCATATGGGTTTTCCCAGGCTGTAAATCTTTGTTGTTTATAAGTGCCATGGAGTCAATTCTGACCCATAGCAACCCTATATAGGATTGCCCAGGAGCAGCTGGTGACTTTGAACCGCCAACCTTACGATTCAAACCGACTTTACAGTCCAGCGCACAAATCCACAGAAAGCCTAATCTTTTTCCCACGGAACTCTAGTAGTTTCAAACTGCTGACCTTGAGATTAGCAGCCCAACTCATAACCATACGCCACCGGCCACCAGAGCTCCTTATGAAGAAAAATAAAAGATGCAAAAAGATAGGCAATTACCACAACCTGCTTCGGAGGCGAGAGCCTAGTTACCCGAAAGTACCTGAAAGCTCAAAGAGCTCTGGTAGCGTAGTGATTACGAATCGGGCTGTGAACCTTAAGGTCAGCAGTTTGAAACTACCAGCTGCTCCGTGGGAGAAAGATGAGGCTTTCTACTCCCGTAAGGATTTACACCCTCGGAAACCCTATACAGGGTCGCTATGGGTCGGAACCGACTCGACGGCACTTAACAACAACAACACCTGAAAGCTCAAGTGTCCCGCTTGAGGAAACTTGATCTTTGTAAAAGGTTGAGTTTCTTCCACAGGTTACTTAGAGGTGACTTGTCAGGCAGTGGGTGAAAGTGACTTCATTAAGCAAGGCCGAAAAAAGTTACCAGTTGCACAGTTGGGAGTTTGGGGGTCTATAGGCAAATAGCTGCATTTACCTGGGGTAAACAGGACATTTCAACTGGCAAACTCTGGAATTTGTGAGCCAAGACCCTAGACTATAGAAATGAGTAATTCAGCCCCTGTTTTAAGAATTTGTCTGGTGTGAGCCTTGCAAAGCCTGCTACAATCCTCAACTGAGAATTTACTCTCTTTCTCTACAACTCACCTGCAGCTCCAGGGTGTGTCCTTCTCTCAAGGTTCCATCTAATGTCAGCAATGATAAAAAAGATCAAAGAGCACAGCCTTCGGTATGGATTGCATCTCAATGTAAAGAAAAGAAAAATCCTCACTACTGGACCAATAAACAACATTCTTATCAACGGAAAAATGATTGAAGTTGTCAAGGACTTCATTCTTCTTGGATCAACTATCAATACTCATGAAGCAGCAGTCACGAAATCAAACAACGTATTGCAGCACTAGGCAAATGTGCTGCACAAGACCTTTTTAAAGTGTTGAAGAGCAAAGATGTCAGCTTGAAGACTAAGATGCTCCTGACCCAAGCCATGGTGTTCTCAATAACCTCATATGCATGTGAAAGCTCAACAGTAAATAAGGAAGACCATAGAAGAATTGATGCTTTTGAGTTATGGTGTTGGAGGAGAATATTGAAAGTGCCATGGGTTGCCAAAAGAACCAACAGATTTGTGTTGGAAGAAGTATAGCCAAAGTACTCCTTGGAGGCCAGGATTCTTTTCTCTCTTGATGGTCCTAGGGTCCTTGGTTTTTAGACTGTAACTGTAAGATTAACTACTTCCTCGTTTTTGTTACAAAACTTCTACCTTTACAGTTGTGACAGTTGCAACTAGTAATATCAATTACTCACTATTGAATCATTAATAAACTGATTCCCATCTCTTTTCACCAGACCTGTCTAGACAAGATGAAAACTATTCAGTGGGGATCTACCTT